CAAAATAATTTTTTTAAAAGGACAGAGACATCTCAGTGGTAAGAGTGCTTGCTTAGTATGCATGAGGCCCTGAGTTTAATCATCATTATCGCAAAACAAAAACAAACAAACAGAACCATGATCCAGCCATCCTACTTCTGGGTATTTATCTAAAACAACTGAACAAGATCTTGAGATGTTCATATACCCACATTATGCAGCATCATTTATAGTAATCAAGAGTTGGAAGGAACCTAAATGTTCATCAAATGAATAAAGAAAATGTAGTATACACCTGCAACAGAATGTTACTGAGCCTTTAAAAAGAAGAAACCTCCATTTTGTGCTACAGCACAGATGAATCTTAATGACAAATGCCTATTTCAAAAAATAAATGACTTATCTAAACAAAGTCAAACTCAAAATCATGAAGCAAGCAAGGAGTGGGAGAAAGGGAGTTGACCTGTGGGTATGAAGTTTTAAGCTAGCAAGCTGAAAATTTTCTGGAAATCTGTTGTACAACTAAGTGCACTGAGTCAGTTAATACTGAAATGAACTGCACACTTATGAATGTTAATGGACTAGGGATGGACTTCAGGGCTACAGAGCTTGCCTGGCATACACAAGGCCCTGAGTCTGATTCTACCACAAAAGAAAAACAAAATAATTAAGATAATAAACTTTATGTATTTTTTGCCACAATAAAAGAGAGGACTTATATAATAATGCTTATGGTAGCTTTAAAAAAAATTACCAGAAACTAAAAACAACTAAAATTGCAGAACAGATTTTAAAAACTGGGATCTGCACAGAATACGAGTCAGCAATAAAAAGGAGTATTCTAACATATAAACAGTATCACAGATGAATATAAATAAGACTACTGTTATATCTTCATTTGTCTGCTGTCTATTTTTAAATTGGGTTGTTTGTCTTTTAATATTAATTTTTCAGGATCCTTTATATATCCTGGATATGAACTCTTCGTCAAATATACTTACTAAACATATTTTCCTCCTTCAATAGCTCAGCTGGTAAAGCACAGGACAGCAGACGCGATAAAATTATTTTCCCACGTTACTGTTTATCAGTAGTGTATTCTTTAAAAACATGTTGGGGAAAAGAATGTACTTCCAAAATCAAACATAGTCCTTTTACATTAAGTTCTGAGATAGGCACAACTAAACCATGGTGATGGAAATATACACAATGTTTGCAGCAGAGGGGAGGAGATGACTGCAAGGGATAGAGCTTACCCTGAGGAATATTTTGTATCTGGAATGGGGTAGCAGTTACAAAAAGAGTATACATTTGTCAAAGCTCACTAAGAATACATAGTATCTGTGCAGTTACATGTATGTAAATAACACCCCAATAAAACAAAAATTATGGTAGAATTCTGACTTCACTAAAACGTGATTTCCTTCTGGTTATAATAATATCAAAATCTTAAAAACAATCACCTTCTAATTACCTTCTAGGCAGATGCAAATACCCCCTTAGCAATGTCTACACCCCATACTACACGTATATACTGGAAGGTGAGTGCTAACATTATAAAACTTTAGGCCTAAAATACCTATCACTGTCAAGGTCAAATAAATTTTTTTTCCTGAGTACTTCTAAATATTTAAGAGGGTTTCACAGGAGTAGTATTAAATAGCCAAACATTCCTTATTTTATTTTTTATCTAAATAAAGAGAACAAGATGCTGAAACTATATGTCAAAACACAACATATGTGTGAACCAGCTGTTATAAGAAGATAATGCCATTTGTTCCCTAAATTACTTCACAGGAATGTCTTAAATATTAATGAGATAATGTCTGGATCCTTTTCAGTGAGTAAACTACTTGCTGTAGGTAATTTGGGTATTTTAGGGTACAGTAAATCCATCAGACACTAGGGTACGATTATTGTACTGAGGCAAAATGGTAGATGTAGAAATTTATAGTCTTATAATCAAGTTTTTATATGTTTAGAATGGTGCTTTCTGAAGCATAATTTATACATAGAATGCATTTTATTTCCTTTAAAAATCAGTATTTATGAGTTTAATAATAACCATTTCCTTCCATTTAGCACTTAAGAAGTTATTATGCTAGGCATCTAAGATAAAAGAAATGCAAGTTATAGTGACTGCCCTCAACACCTCACAGTTTAGTGAAAAAAAAACATATAAATAAATTTGAATGCAATACAGCAATGATTTTTAAAAACTCCTATGTAACTGGTATTACAGAAATACCTAGCTAGGCACCTAATCCAGAAGAGGTGGAGAACGGCAAAGCCAGGGGATGCGCATCACAGAAGGCCTCTGGGAAAGCAGTGGCACCTGAACAGACTCACCATAGAAAGATGTGGCAAGGGTCAGAGGCTGCACAGAGCTCTAAAGTTAGGCCAACAGATACAAGAAATCAATGTACCTTGAGACCATTAAGTGAAATAAATCAGCTTCAATGTCCCATGCTTTCTCTTATAAGAGAAACTCAAAATATCAATAAAGGACAAAATAAAAGATAACAGGAAAAAGGGAGAGAGTTCTTTTGCAAAAGCAAAGGGGACCAAGAGATGGAGAGAAGTTTATAAGAGGGGACAGGAAGAGAAGGGGATTTAAAAACCCAATTAAGATGTGTTATTGGGCCAGGGATTTAGCTCAGTGGTGCTATCATCTGCCTCGCAAGCACAAGGAACTGAGTTCAATCGCCAGTACCAAAAAAAAAAAAAAAAAAAAAAAAAAAGATGTGTTATGTGCACTACCAACTCCTTATGAAAAATGTAATCACTGTGTGTTGCAAATAAGTACTAATAAAAATAAACAAGTTTTTTAAAAAGACAGAAAGCCAAAGAAGAACAGGTACTGCTGGAAGATTCTCCAGGGCCAAGCCCCAGCAGGAGATGAACACAGCTCAGTGAGGGCAGACTGGGAAGAACCATAAGGTAAGCAATCAAACACGTGCATCTGGAACTCTAGAGACATAAGGTCCAAATCTGATAGCCAGCAACCTGAAGGAAGCAACCAAAGTCATCATGCAAGAAGATCTGTGGTGCGCAAATGGAGAAGACCATCACAGAAATCCTGATGGGAGGAACAACTGAAGAAGGGACAGGCAAGAGAAATCTGGGCAAGGGCAATCAGGTAGTGAAAAAAGAAATTCCAGTGGAAGGTGTCTAAAGAAATCTAAAGAAGCAAAGAGCAGGAAGGAATGACCCACAGTGACAGGTCCAGGAGCACAAACCTGCAGTGTTGTTTGCCTTTAATCACCTGTAAGGTCTCAGAAGACTTTTAGCCAGGGTGGCTTCCGAGACATTAAGAGTACCAGAGAAAGTGAAGTTCATGCAGACTGTGGGTTTCAGTAAATGGCTATGAAAGTAAGACAAAGGATCAGAGTTGGCAAGGAATTGAGGTTGAAAGAAGGTTTTGAGAGGGTGGGGACAGATGTATTATTATTTGTTTCTTCTATAGTTTTTTTAGCTTCTTTTTGAAAGATTTCAGTGCTTATACATTAAGACAAAATAATTATACATGTTAGAAGAAAATTTTAGATCCAGGAAGTAACTGGTAAAAAGACCAAAAAGGAGAAAAGGATGAGATAAGAAATGATTAAGAAGAACCTGCAGGGTGGGTATAATGTCCACGAGAATTCTTCTTCCACTGAGAAAGAAGCAAATGTCTCACAGGTGGATCTGCATTACCACACAGTTTATAGGTGATGGGAGGGAAGATGAGCAAATTTATTTTCTCATTTTGATACCATGAGAGAGAACTTCTATTTGTTGAACCAAGAGAGCTAGAGCAGCATCTGGTTTCCCAAATATTACTTTAAGGAAAGAAGGGTAAACTTTATCCACCTAAAATAAATATAAAAGAGTTAAGCAGCTACACATTTCAGATAGTCCACTGAATTACATGAAGTGACGGAGAGATGAATCACATCTGTTTAAAATGAACTTCATTTTATCAAGACTGGTTCTTTTCATTCATGATGATAATGACATTTCGTTGTTAATCACTGATATATAATAATATGGTAGCAAGAAAGGTTTATTAGAAAACAAAAAATTAAAAGCTAACTTTTAATTAACACCAATTTAGCACTCAAAAGGCCCTGGGTTCAATCTCTAGCACTGAAAAATCAAAAACAAAAACAACAACAATACACACACAAGAATTCCTTACGGAATTTTTAGAATTTTCAGAAGAAAGCCATCACTAATGAATATCACATAAAACACTTTTCTACAATTATATTACTCCAAAAGATATTAAAATGTATGGTTTGCAAAATTTTTAATATAAGAATAGGCCTAAGAGAAACAAGAATATAGGGAATAAATTTATTATGTATTCCATAAAACAAAGTGAAATAATTATTCTTAAATGAAATAAATATTCATGTAGAAATCAACATATACACAAATCTATAAAAAGTACTTCAAGTAGGTGCTTTTAAAAGTTATTCATGGCTACAATAATCCTCTACCTACCTTTACCACAATGGATGCAAAACCAGTTAAAAAGATGTTTGCCCCTTCCAGCCACAAAAAAATCAGGAAACAGAAAAAAGAAAAAGGGTTTCAGCCTCTTCTAAGCTATGCTGTCTTTCAGAGGGCTGATGAATGTCAATCCTCCCCCATGGCACCCAATCCATACCAGCTGCATCTTTAGACCACATTTAGCCCCCAACCAACTCTTTCTGGGTCAAAAGAGGAGGGCCCCTAATCTGCTGGTGCAGGGGACACAGAAAGAGAAACCTAATGCCTCTTGATCTCCAAAGGCCTGCAAACCTACACTGAAGAAGAAAACTCGTTCCCAGCTCAGGAGCCACAATAGCCAAACAAACCACCAGACATCCTCTCTCCCTCTCGTCTCCAGAAAGCCAACCAACTCTGCATAACACAGCAAACAGCAAAGTATCGGTTAAATATTAGTCATTAAGAAAACAGAGATTTTTAAAATAAGAAAATACACTCTGTAAAATGCTTACCCTTTTGTATAACTAGGTTTGGGAGAAACTTACTATTGATGTGATCGATGTAGTAGACACCAATTTGAGGGTCAAATCCTGCTTCCCATCCCCATGGCAGTTCATCCCCAACACAGTCAGCAAAGGACAGGGGCTTTGTTAACCTACGGCAGAACAAATACACGATTTTTGGGAGTCAAACCACACAAGTCAAAATTCAGCAGAATCACCACAAATTAAATATCTAGATTGATTTCTCCTTTGTTCTTGTTTCCAGAACTTGCACCTCTGCAGCTGAAATATTAAAGAAAAAAACAAGGATGAAATACAGAAGGGAATATTTAAAAAGAACAAGTCATTTCTTATGTCATTTCCAGAGATCCCAGCTTAAGACTGGAGATAAAACTCTATGATAAATAAATCAAGCCATGTTAAATCGCCAAGCTGCGAGTAAGGAGGCCTAAAATCCAGTCTAGCTCTACAGAAAACTCCTGTCCCACTAAAAATAAACATCTGTTCAGGATTCAAATATTGGCATTATAGAAATGATATTAGTACACTTAAAATAAGAATATACATTAAGCATACTAATTTCAGATTTGGGTGCTCTGATACAAATTAACTAAACTCTCAACTATCAGGTTTGATAAGGGTTTTCCTTGAAAGGAAGGACAAACATGACTTAATTTTATAGGTATCTTGTATATAATGGTCACTCAAAAGTTTTAATGGAACAAAACACAAAGTATTCATATATCAATATATTACTTTTGAAACTTTTTAACATTTTCTCTTAAACACATTTTTCTTTAAAACTAAACTTTTTTGTTATTTTATTTTATTTATTTTTTTTTTAACTGCTTAATGCTGATCTGTAATGAGATTTTACATGTTTTGTCCTTTAAAATGTCTTTTCACACAAATGATACCGAAGATCTTGTTTTAACTTTTTTTTTTTAATTTAATTTTATTGAGTTTATTGGTACATTTTAGGGATACAGTACAGTTACATTCATTGTTGGGATCATGTACCTTTACATGGCAAGTCTTGATTCTCATTTTTTCCCCTTACCTCTGCCCTCCCTTTTTTGTTATTTTATTTTATTTATTTTTTTTTTTTACTGCTTAATGCTGATCTGTAATGAGATTTTACATGTTTTGTCCTTTAAAATGTCTTTTCACACAAATGATACCGAAGATCTTGTTTTAACTTTTTTTTTTTATTTTAATTTTATTGAGTTTATTGGTACATTTTAGGGATACAGTACAGTTACATTCATTGTTGGGATCATGTACCTTTACATGGCAAGTCTTGATTCTCATTTTTTCCCCTTACCTCTGCCCTCCCTTTTTTGTTATTTTATTTTATTTTATTTTATTTTTTGAGATAGGTTGGCCTTGAACTCTATGTAGTCCAGAATGGCCTGGAAATTGCAGCAATCCCCCTGCCTCAGCCTCCCAAGTACTAGGATTATAGGCATGTACTATTACGTCCAGCTAAAACTAACTTCTTTAAGACTATTTAAAACTAACAAGGAAATGACACAGTTTCCTAAGCAAGTAAAGTACTGGTTTCAGACATAATTACAGATCTATTTTTTCCTCACTCATTTTCACTTTTGAAATTTTCCTTAGTTGCTGGAGCAGCCATGGCAAGTTAACATTATAGATTAGTGAATGCCTTGTTGTAGGGTGGCCACCATCAATCAACATGCCTTCTAATTTAATATGCTGCCATGACTAACCTGGTTCTTACATACAAAAGCTCCTGGAATCTCTTTTATCCATATTAATGAATATCAAAGGTCTCACTGCACACCTGAAATATAGGTCATTTTTAGAATTGCATCATTTATCAGAATAACAAAGTATGTCATTTACCCACCAGAATGCTGGGAGTATAACAGGAAAATGATCCCAGGCCTAACCCGCAACAGCCTTCCAAGAACACCAAACACCAACAATGAAAGGAAGGATGCCTTTGTCTCACAGCCTTCCCATAGCATGAAATTCCCTTCTGGAGATGACTCCAAAGACACTGGCCTTTGAAACCAGCTCAGCCAACAGAAGCCACAGTAAAGGCAAACAGCTGTGGACACTGACACATTGGGAGACCTCTTAATGGAGCACCTCTCTGCTTCAGTTTCCTTCTCTTGAGTGCTGAAAACACCCCTCACAACCCCTCCACACACACATCCTTTCCATACAAGTTGACTAAGACAATGCAAAAATAAAAAAGAATAAACTTCAAGCAGTGTCAAGAACATGGTAAGTAGTCACTTAAATGTTAGTTAATTGTCAAAATAACATGGCATGTGAAGTTGTTATATTTTAGATTTAAAATGGCCCCAAACCTTCATGTGTTTAGAAGGTGCCTGGATTGTGGAGGTACCATAGCCAACTTGGTGTTGGGAGGTTAAGTCTATCAGAAAAGGCAGGTCACTGTCCGTGTGGCTCAGAAGGGTGTACCGCCCTTCCCAATTCCTCTCTTTACTCCCTCTATTTCCTGGCTGTCATTCAGTGATAGTTTTTCTCCAAGTCGGGCCCTTCTACCATGCCACCAACCATGCAAGGATTGAAACTTCTAAAATGTGAATCAAAATGAACCTCTCCTTTTAAGTTGTGAGTGTTGGGTACTTGTCTCAGTAATGAGAAAGTAGGTCAGAAGTCTCTCACTTACTCCTCAGAGAAACTAAGTTAGGCAGCATAGTATTAAGGAGCAGCTCTCAAAACACAGCCCTCAAAACCAGGAGCAGCACAACAGAAATGCAAATTCTTGGACCCTGAGGTAGACCTACAAAATCAGAAACTCCAGGGTCGAACAATGTGTGCTCTCCAGGCAACTCTGCTGCACATTGAAGTTTGGGAACCCCTGAGTTAGAAGTTAAGAATTTGAAATTTGGTACCAAAAAATGAGTTCAAATCTTTATTTTGTACCATACTCACTGTATAACCTGGAGCAAGTTATTAGCTTTAAAAACCCTGGTTCACTTATCTAATTTCCAAAGCGGGTGGGGGCTTCAGAGAGATTTTAAAGTTCAAATGAAGACCAAACAGTGCAGTGCCTGGCCACTGTAAGCTTCACTATATTAAATAAGCGAAAAGAATCTCAAAGATGTTAAGCAACGTGCCCAAATACGGCAACTTGCCACATTTACTTTATAATCATGGAGTCCATTTGAACTCAATCTGAGTTTTAAAAAAAAAAAATGTACCTCTTAGAATTGTGCTCAAATTCCATCTCATATCATAAGCTGTTCAGGAAATCTGGTTTTTCTTTTGATAAAGGAATTAGGTATCATATCAAAAAATCCCACACCAGAGGAAGTGGCCTTGTCTACATCTATTGTCTCTAAGAACGTCTCTTTTACTATCTCCATAAAGTTGAAAAGATTTAAGCTTCTGTGCCAGGTACCCTGCACATGAGTCCCTTTGAAGACTCTTTCCCTATCTCCTTATCAATGATGTCATAAGGCACACAGAGCTTAAAGAAATGACGTATGAGGAGATATGAAAATGTAGGTCTAAGTGACAAAAGAGAGATCTCAGGGGCCAAGGATTTAGCTCAGTGGTCCGGTGGCCTGCCTTGCAAGAGCAAGGACCCGAGTTCAATCCCCGGTACCAAAAAAAAAAAAGAGAGAGAGATTTAAAGACAAGTTTTATCTGCCATCAAATCAACATCTATAAGCATGAGTTTGATATAAATATATTTATTATTCTTAGACGTTTAGTAAGTTATAAAAGTTTCAAAACATGTCCTATGATTACAAGTTATGGTAACTTGATTACATCTGGAAATAATTCCATTTTCTCATGAATTTGTCAGTAGATAATAAGCAGTTAATCACCATTGTTATAAGACTAAAATTACAGAATTATGAACTCAGTGACTAATTCAGAAGTTCCTATTGCTGAAAATTTCATACAATTTTTTTTTTGCAGTGTTATTTTAAAAGCAAATTTAATACTTTATTTTCTGTATCTGGAAAACACATTCTTTTCTGCCTTCTATCAGTAGATAAAACCATTAAATATCAAAGTTTAGAACTAAACTCTTATCCAAATTAGAAAATAAAAATAGAATAATATCCTCAGCTGCCAAACAAACAAAATCAAAGAACCCAATTATACCGCTATCTTGATAAAGGAAAAATACTATAATAATCTATAAATATATTCAATCCCCACCCTCACTGGGGAAAAAAAAAAGCCTTAAGCCTTTCCTCAAACCTCCTGGCTCCTCTTTGGACATTCACTTCTTAACCATCTGCTCATTCTAATCTGCAGATGTTAAATCTAAAGGACTGTAAGAGGCCCTATCAGAATCTCCCTGCTTCCACCTAACCTTAATTCTTCATGAATACACTCTTGACAGGCAGTGTCTGTGGGTGACTCACCTTTGAAAGAGCACAGGGCTTACACTGTTGGCTGTGGGACCCAAATATATTACTTAGAAAAACTGCATTGCTTACAATATTCTACATCCAAAAGGTCGATTTGTATGTATATTAATTACACTAGTAGTATAAAGCATTTACCAACATTATCACATATCATACATATTTTAATATATGCAAATGTGAGAGTGAAAAAAGCTTCCTAAAAATCTACAAAGTAGGTAATAATTATTATCTCCATTGAAAAAGCTTTTGTAGGGAAAATAAAAACCTATCTGTAGTTAAATGAGCGTGCGTTGAGGCAACACAAAGCTCTCTCCGTAGTCAACATTCATACTAAAGGCAGTAGTGGCTGCAGACTGCTGCCAAGGCTTTCACACTTTTATAAACCTTCACAATGGATATTCTGAATGAGAAAAAAGCAAAGACTAGTAACAAATAAAGGGCACTTAGCAAAGGCATGCAATTCTTAAATATTTGACTAAACATACAAAGATGCTTTTAAAAAAACTTACCCTCTTAAACATGGTTTATAGTCAGAACAGCTATTCCTAAGTAAAACTACATGATTTATGCATATATTTCTTAATCATCAGGTTATAAAATAATTTCCTTTTAACTACTTATAGTGTCTGCCTATTCTAGTTATTAAAAGTTTATACTAAAAAGGCCAAAGTTTTGGATTACAGTTCCCACAGAGGTCTTGGACATAGACTCAACCTGAAAATACTGTTTAGTGTAGTTCTCAATCCTAAGGGTGTAACCAA